GTGGAAAGAGTTTTAAGTTGGTTCTTGTAAAAAGTAACCCAAGTGTATTTTTTTCAAAATTGTTCAACTCTAAAAGGATGGTGCACACTCAAAAAAAAAAAAAAAACAAACAAAAAAAAAAAAGTGTAAAAAAAGTAATTTTTTCCAGATTGGTAAAATCCTTTTAAATGCAGATCACCTTGAGGAAATTTCTGTATTTTTTTCATAATTTTACATCACAATATATATTGCAGAAAAACTAAATATCGTAATAAGTTTTTTCAATATCGTGGAACTCAATATGAGACGATGTAAGGTGGTGGACGATTGTCAACATCTCTGTAAACCTGCAATCTGTGTGTCCCGTTTGTGTTTGAGCGAGCGCCGTTCTCTTTGCTCATTAGTGCCGGAGAAAGTGATGAATACTGCAGGGTGGCAGAGCTCATTACATCTCCTGCATTCAGCAGCAGCGTGAAAATTCTTCACCCCTGACTGATCATTAATTACACGTCTTAGCAGGCAGCCGGAAAGAGAGCACGAGGACATGACAGAGAGAGAAAGAAAAGTCAGCTTCATAAAAAAGGCTGACAGAAGAGTACTTTCCATGGCAGTTTAATTCAGAGATAACCCTGGCACTATGAGAACATCTTCACACAGCAACCAATAGTGAGAGTTTAGGGGCGCGGGGCTATCGGTTTAACCAGCCAGTGGAAGATGGGGAGTGTTTGAGGAAACCTGTTTGGAAATAATGATTTCTGCAACACAAAAATTCACATTCAAAGCATTTTCTTTATAGGCCAGCAGACATTTGATCGAGTTCACAGCTGATTTCTCAAGGTCCACCTCTGCAGAGTCACACTGCTGGCAAAGACCAAATCTCTGCTGAGCACTTGGCTGACTGATTAATTGATCAGATAACATTTGTGAGATGACTCAACGTTTGGCATCCTTCCTTCCTTCTCTCTCTCTTCCTTTAGTGAAGTGCAGAGTTCACCTTGAGCAGTCAGTGGGAGCGCTCGGCTTCAGATGTCATTAACCAGGTGCTGGGCTCACATACTGCTTTATCATACATCACTTGCCCTCACACTATAACACGATTTCTGCTAGAACAAGCTTGTAATTTAACGGCCTATTTAAATAGTTTTCCCACTTACATCTCTTTTTCAAGATACTGTATTTTAAAGACCATTTCATAAATCCAAATGAGCTTTAACAGATCTGACAGATTTAACAGATTATTAGAAAGGGCTTAAACAATATTTTTCAAACTTGTTCAATGAGCTGTAATCAGTTATTGCACATGCGCTTGTATCTATCACTGTGTTTATGTCAGTATATATTACTATAATGTAAAAAAAAAAGTTGCACATTTTCCTTCTACAAATCCATTTGTTTATAAGCAAATTATTGGTCATTTTCTATGAAAGTTAATTTGTGATTAAAGGGTAAAAAAAATCTAATTAAAAATATATATTTAATAATTCATGGTATATATTTTTTATTTTATTTAATAATTATTATTTTAATTAATAATGAAGCTGTATCCTTTAAAAAATTATTTAAAAAGACATACAGGAAAAAAAACACAAAATAATTTGAATGCACCTCATTCATTAATTTAATCCATTTTCTGTTTAAGTCCATTTCTGAGTAAAGATTTTAAAAGAATTCTCATTTTAAATTACTTTTATTTTTGCTTACTTTGAGGTGGATGTGGGCTTTCATACTTTTTCTATTCCACTTCTATTGGGTGCTGTCATGGATAACACACAACAACACTGAGACCCTGGCAACATACTCACAGAATTATCCTCATAATCTAAAACCATTCTTAGGCCATTTCAGTAATATACAAAACGGCCATTGTATTTAATAATTGTAGCTCATTGTAATGATTCAAAAACAAGTCAATGAAGCATTTGCACATGCCGCCTGTGTTTCTCACCTGGAACTGTACTTCTGCAGAATGCTCTCCAGCGTGCTCACGAGCTCCTCAGAGTTCACAGTCTTCTGGCTGCCCAGAGAATGCATCTTCTCGTAGAAGTCTGCGATCTCCATCCTGGCCTGCGTGAAGTGACACAGCTGCTCGGACAAATGGGGCAGGAGATCCTCCAGGTTGGGAGTGGAGCCTCCGGATGTGTGGCGGCCCATGGAGACCACCTTCCTCAGTTCGTTGTTCAGGGACGTATAGATGGTTCTGATGGAATCCTTGCGGCTGAAAAATGACTGACCACCTGCATGACACACATACATTAATGTGATGGCATTAAAACAATACAATGCAGGAGGCACCTCTAGTGTTTCAGCCTGAAAATGAATTCAGTAACAGAACACCCAGATGGAGAAGCATTATGTTTGACCACATGGCGCCATCTGCTGTATTTAAATTCAATTATATTATCCTGTCATACACTGTTCAAAAAAACTAAAAAAAAACATTAGATTAGCTTGGTTGGTACATGTATATGGAAGCATATAGGTAGCGAAATTCAATTTAAAATGCAATATGCAAAATGGCAATGCACAGCACCATCCAGTGCTTTTTTTTTTTTACTTGGACCAGGGCAATACCACGTTTTTTGGCATATTTGACACGACATTACCATGGTACATATACTACGGTAATCAAATTTTTTTTCTTTCTAAAAAGCCATGGTATTATTATGGCACATCAAAAAAGCATAGTATTACCCTGGGACAAGTCCAAAAACATCATCTTACCATGATATGTTGCTGAATTACTAGCATAATTACAAAGTGTTACCATTTAATACCTGCGGAAAAAAGGTAAGAAAAAAATAATACTCTGGTAAATCAGGTTTTACATAAAAAAAAAATCACATTTATGAGATACTAAAAAAATACAAAGATACAAAGAAAAATGAGATACAAAGTCACAATCATGACAAAGGGAGCATTCAGATAACTGGAAAAATGATAAGTCATAAGTCAAAGTTATAATTAAGACAAATAATTGTATTAACATTAAATGTCAAATTTGAGGCGAAAAGTCATAATTATGATATAATTACATTGCGTTATGAAAAAGTGTCCATTATAACATGATAAATGTTTTGTCAAACGTATAGCTTTCTTGTAATTATGAGTCCTAAATTTGACTGTCAATTTTTAAATTATGATCCCTTTTCTCTCATAATTTCGACTTTTTATTTCAGGTTTGATTATATCATATTTATGACTTGGTATCTCAATTTTTTACTTGTGATAATCATCATTTTTATCTCATAATTATGATCTGACACCTCACATTTCGAATTAATCTGGAATTGTGACATCTCTAACTTTATTATCATTTCCATTTATATTTCATAATTATGAGTTTATCTTATAATTTAGACTTTTTTATTATCAAAATATCGATGTCTGTAATCCATACTTATTATTTTGACTTTTATGTCATAATTTTGATTTACTAAATCCCCTTTGTGTGGCGGAAATGGGCTTCCAGATGGTAGCACCACAGTACTTTTTTGACAGAATGCAGTATTGGAAACGCTGCTTTCATACCTAGTTTCTGCCCGAGGAAAGTCATGTTGTGGTAGGCTTTCTCTGCGGCGGCCAGGTGAGCGAGAGCGGCCAGCAGAGACGCCCATGTGGCCCCCGCGCTCTTACTGGCGTCCTTCTCCTTCTCCACATAATCCTTCGCCCGGTCGAACCAGAACATCCCGAGCTGAGTGAAGAAACTCTCGAGCACGGCTCGCTCTTTGGGAACCGGCCGGAGCTCATCATCGCGCTGTATGTCACTCATGATGACAGAGAATCAGCGCAGACACACTTACAGCTGCTGTACATTCACGCTACAGCGTTATTAAACGATCGCTAAAACTGTTTGATGCGCGTTATGTTGTGCCCGATAGTTGCGGTCGCTGGAAAAGACCAAAATGAATCACACCATCGAAATTAAGAGATTCAAACGGGTTTCTGTTGGTAAAATGCGCATTCTTAGTGCTAAACGCCACCATGACACTTTTCAATGACAACACTACGGCACGCCAAAGGAGACAAATACATATATATATACGAAACGCGCATCCTATGCAAGAATGTGCAAATGGATCAAACTTTCAATTTGGCATTTTATTTAAGGCAAGGTCATTTACACTGCAGGCAAAAACACAGTTTTTTTTTTCATGCACCTGTCAAGTTTGAGGTTTTGGGCTGTTTGGTTTTTACGTAAAGTGTATGTAAACTTCACTTTACATTTTTATTCCTGCCTGAAGGTTTTTACAGAGAGATTTGTTCATATATAATTTGCTTGATTATATACAACATTTTATCCCCCGCCCCAAATTACGAAAATATATTGTTTTCAGTCTGTTCTAAGTGTTTTCTGAATTATGGAGTGACAAAATGAGAGTAAAAATATTGGACTCTAATATGTCAACAAAAATTAAACAAGAATTTTGAAACGAACTTTATCCAGTGTTCAGATTTTTGTACTAGAAATGTACGCAAATTAGCGCATATTTAATTAAATAATGCCTCATTTGCATATTTAACCCTAACATTTTAGAAAACTTGTAATACAAAAAATGTTTGCAATTATCAATGTAATCAATCAACTAAGTAAGGCGATAAATATTAGTTCATTTTTTACCCTATTCACCTGCAATGTCTCGCCTTAAATATAAAATATATTTGATATCTATATGTCTATTCAGTAAACCCTAATATATTTCGAATACTCTTTAAACAGTAGCATAATAAAAAATCTGTCAAACAATTGTTTTAGTCAATAATTCAAAACTATTGAGAATGCATAAGGAATGTATATACATTTTGAATAGTGCATTTAGGCCTACTCTTCGATTTTAAGAGTCAAATTTTGTGCCACCATTTATATGCAGTTCAAACGTTTATATCACCGTCATATTTAAAAGAGGTCCCTTTAATTTTTCGCGTGGGCAGCAGTTGTAATCATAGACATAATAAATATTATTTATTATGTCTATGGTTGTCATGCCAGCTTCTGCCGTAAACGTCTCGCTTCGGCTTTGTTCTTTGCGACGATGACAGTCGCTTGACGGCAGACTGGGGCAGGGCTGCCTGTAAGATCCGAGCTATCTGGTCGTCCGCACATCTGTCCGATAGTCCAAAGTTTATTCAAATTAATCCATCGTATCGGACCTAATGGATCCCAATCGAATCATACAGGCTCTGAAGGGCACCATAGATCCAAATCTCAGGCTAGCGGCTGAGAATGAGCTCAACCAGGTCAGTGATCCATCAAGAGAAGTTTGTTGTTTCTTTAGGAAACAGAAGCACCACGAGAGCAGAGATGCCTTCAGTGAATATGCTAAATTAAGGGCTGGTTTAATGCATAAGGCTGGGTAATGTTTAATCCGTCTGTCTGTGTCACTATTTTATATTTGTTTACTATTTAGATGGTTGATTTCGTACGTAATAGTTATAAGGTTGCAAAGTAGTTGCAATGCATTAGTGTGCAACAATAGAGGCAGATGCGGTCCTCTTCTGACAACCGACTAAGTTCTAATAATATTTGTGTCCTGTGCTTTAAGATCGGATCTGGTTTAGGTTTGATGCCAGAGAGGGAAAAAATCCCATAAATCCCCTATGAATAATGTGGAATGTGCACTACAACAGAGTTTATTGGTGTTATACTGTGATATGACATTTTTCATTGTGTCCTGATTCTGCTGCATGTAAATCAGCATTGCTACGGACCACTGATGCAATTCAGTGCAATCCACACTCCACGCGCTCCATATAAAGTCATTTCTCTTCCAGATGAACTCGTATGTGTGTTTAGAAGAGCTGAGGTGCCTGCATACAAAATCTGTGTGTGTTTTTTAAATGATTCAGTTCAAATAGTTTCATTATTTCACTTCAGTTTTGACATCCTTTTGGTTGTTTGTTATATTTGTTAAAGACAGAATTTATTGGAATTTTCTTACTATAAGCTATTTCATAGTTCTAAATGTAGTTATTGGCTACAGGTAGCATAACACCAACAATTTTGTGTGATGATGTAAAATTTTGGTGCTGTACTTGTTCTTGGCCCTGAAGAAAAAAAAACTAAGAACAGTGACGCATGAATCCAGACAGGATTGCAGACTGATAATGTTTACAAAAATCATGAATTTAAAATTTTGTTATTTTTCAGTCTTACAAGATCATCAACTTCGCCCCAACTCTGCTGCAGATCATTGTTTCGGACCAGGTGGAGTTTCCTGTGCGACAGGCAGGTAAGAGCTTTTCTCATCCTATAGCGTTTTGATGCTTTCTGTAATATAAGAAAATACTGATCAATCAAGCTGAGTGAATCTGAATGACTCAACTGAATCATTCTGGATTGAGATCTTACCATTTGTGCATTCTGATTGGATGAAATAGTCATTATTTTCTTGCTCTAGCTGCCATCTACTTGAAGAACATGGTGAGTCAGTACTGGCAGGACCGAGAGCCAACATTGGGAGAGGTGGTGTTTCCTTTCAACATCCATGAAAATGATCGCGGACAGATCCGAGAAAACATGGTGGAGGCCATTATTGGCTGTCCAGAGTCCATAAGGTGAGTCAGTTGTGCCAGTATGTCAGTTTTGGAGGTGTTATTACTTGAAAATTAATTTTTTTTGTTGGTTGGCAGGGCTCAGCTGACAGTATGTCTGCGTGCCATAATAAAACACGACTTTCCTGGACGGTGGACGGGCGTAGTGGACAAAATTAACCTGTACCTGCAGTCACAGAACAGTGGGAGCTGGTATGGGAGTCTGCTCGCTCTTTATCAACTCGTCAAAAACTACGAGTGAGTGAACCACAAGATTTTTGTCTCTCTTGAAGTCCCTTACCTGTGATATCTCACCATTTACAAATGTCATAATTGTCAACCTTCAATCAAGGTTCAACGAATAGTTCACCCAAAATTGAAAATGTCATTATCCTCAGGCCATCAAAGGTGTAGACGAGTTTGTTTCTTCATCGGAACAGATTTGGGGAAATTAATCCTCTGCAGTGAATGGGTGCCGTCAGAATGAGAGTCCAAACAGCTGATAAAAACATAGCAATAATCCACAAGTAATCCACATCACTCCAGTCCATCAATGAATGTGAAGCGAAAAGCTGTGTGTTTGTAAGAAACAAATCCATCATTGAAACGTTTTAAATTCCAACTGTTGCGTTTAGTTAAAATACAAGTTCATAATCCATAATAACACTTCCTCAGTTGAAAAGTTTCATCCCCTGTTGCCCTCTCACTTCAAAATTTACCAACATATTTGTTTTAAACTGTTTTGTACTCCTTGTAAACAGTGCTTGATCTGTGCATATTTCTCTCCTGATTCAGATGAGACTACTTTTTCACTGTACAAAGCAATATTATGGATAGAGGACTCGTATTTTAGCTGAAATCAATGGTTTGAAGTTTAAACGTCTTAATTTTTGTTTTTTATATAAATACGCAACTTTTTTGCAGCTGTGATGTTTATATCAGCTGTTTGGACTCTCATTCTGACGGCACCCATTCACTGCAGAGGATCCATTGGTGAGCAAGTGATGTAATGCTAAATTTCTCCAAATCTGTTCTGATGAAGAAACTCATTTACAACTTGGTTGGCCTGAAGTTTTTTTTATATCAGGGCTTTTGAAAGAGTAAATAGAAATTTGTATGAAAGTTGATCATTATGGTTCTGTGGTGGTCAGGTTTAAGAAGGCTGAGGAGCGGGACCCCCTGTTGGCTGCAATGCAGATCTTCTTGCCTCGGCTCCAGCAACTCATCACTCAACTCCTGTCTGATGCCACCTTCATCTCAGTTCTGATCCAGAAGCAAATCCTAAAGATTTTCCATGCACTTGTACAGGTGTGTTTGAACATTTCTTTCATTTGTTTACCAGGTTAGTCCCAACATGTTAGTGCTAAGTCCCTGTTTGTGTTCGTGTCTGCAGTATTCCCTTCCACTACAGCTGATCAGTAACACAGTCATGACCTACTGGATGGAGATCCTGCGGACAGCTGTTGATCGGGACGTCCCTGCAGTAAGTTTGCATGCTCTTTTCACAGTTAAGATCTTATTGGTAAATATGATTCCATGACTGTATGCTGACTGATTTTCAGGAAACTCTGGAAGCTGATGAGGACGATCGACCGGAACTGATCTGGTGGAAATGCAAGAAATGGGCTCTGCATATCATCACAAGAACGTTTGAGAGGTGATTAAACAAGCCAGACCACAAGCCTCATTTGTGGGCATTTATAATAGAAAGACCTTTATTGTCCCCTAATAGGAAATGCACTTTTCACAATAGCAGACTTAAAAACAGAGCAGCACCCAGTAATTAATATAATTTTTGTATTTCAATAATGGTCAATTATATTATATTATAGTTCTTATATATGAATTGATAATGTTTGGATGATTATTTGCATTAATTTTTAAATCAAAATAATTTGTTTGTGTAAACCATTTTTATTTTGTATGTTTATTGTAAATTATCACAATAACTTTATTATTATTATTATTATATCATTAATTGAATATTCAAATAATACTATTATTATTTGAATATTGCAGTTACTATTATTATTATTAGTAGTATATTTCTGTGTATTATTTTGTATATTAGTGGTATATTTTGTATGATCACAATAACTTGGAATATTATTACATTTTGTACATTAATTGTATTAATTGTTTGGCAAAATATAATATTCTGTGTATTAGTCATATATTTTGTATAATCACAATGACTTGGATTATATTATATTATTATTTCTTATATAATTATTGTATATTTTAGATGATTATTTACATGAATATTAAAATATTTTTAGTATAATACGTGTTACATTTTTAAATATTTTGTATCTTTATTGTATTTTTTGTGTCACAGTAACTGAATAGTATTATTGCATGTACTATTCATTTAATATTCAAATAATACTATTATTATTTATATGCTATTATTATTAGTAGTAGTATTTTTCTGTGTATTATATTTTGTATATTAGTGTTATATACTATGATATTTGGATCACAATAACTTGGATTATATATGAATTTATATTATAATTTGTACATTAATTATATATTTTATATTCAATTACTTAGAATTATATTTTTGTGTAATACATGTTGTGTATTTAGTGGTAGATTTTGTATAATCTCAGTAATTATTATGTACGTTACATTATGTTATGTTACATTATATTAATTGAATTGTACTGATTTTCTGTTGTCAGATATGGCAGTCCAGGAAATGTGACAAAGGAATATGTCGAGTTTGCTGACTTTTTCTTGAAGACATATGCTGTAGGAATCCAGCAGGTATGAGCAGAAATTGTAAATTGAAAAAACAATTTGTTGTGGTCCCATGGTACAGTGAGTGTATTTTCATGTTACCTGTAAGATCGCTGAGTGAAAGGCTGTTTTCCCTGCAGGTCTTGTTGAAAGTGATCGAGCAGCACAGACAGAGGCAGTACGTGAGTCCTCGTGTCCTCCAGCAGGCGCTGAGCTACATGACTCAGGGCGTCTCGCACTCGCTCACATGGAGACAGATGAAACCGCACATGCAGGTGGGAACCAGCTGAGAAACAGCATCACATGACTTCATAGAAATGATGACTTCCGTACAGCGTAATATCTCTGTCTCTGCAGACTATAACTCAGGAGGTGGTGTTTCCTCTGATGTGCTATAAAGATGAAGATGAAAGACTATGGCAGGAAGATCCGTATGAGTACATCCGCATGAAATTTAGTCAGTGTGCTTTATTATTGTTTTGTCCTTATCACTTTGATTAATGCTTGCTTAATGTGCTTTTGTGGCCATTAAGTTTATTGAAGACAGCATCATTGCACTAATTTCACAGTTTTTCCTTGTCTCGCAACTCTGGAATATTTGAGCATAAATGCACAGATGTTTTAATGCTTAGGGAGCCAAAATAGTGTTTGATTCAGCAAGATTCATTTTTGTGAATCAGTGAAATTATCAGTTCAACAATTTGTTCTCATCATCACTAGGAAAAGTTTTTAATGTATTAAAATGATGTACAAACATGTTACATGTAGTTATTTTAGATGAGTACATTATTATTTATTTACTATATTTTAATTTATTTTAAATTAAAATTTATTTTATTTATTTTATAACTTATTTTTTTATTTTTTTATATTACTAGACTTTAACTGTTTTAATTTATGCATTAAGCATGACTACAATGGCTGTTTGGTTGATTATGTTTTTTCTGATGTATTTCAGTCAAGGCTGAAAAATATTGAGACTGGTTATTTTATAAAAAAAATTGTGCTTTATCCATTTTTGCTTGCAAGCAGTTTAATTTCCTCTGTCAGTGAATTCAGGAATAGAAGCTGTTGTTTTTGATTGCGTAATGATCTGATTGGCTGATCTGTGTGGTTCCCTGTGTGTGTGTGTGTGTGTGTTCTGCTGTAGATATGTATGATGATCATGTGTCTCCCACCACGGCCGCTCAGACTCTATTGTGTACAGCAGCCAGGAAGAGGAAGGAGGTGAGTCCACCCTCAGACCGCTCTTGTTTACATTTGCATTCCAATGAAACACTCCAGACTTTCCAAGAAATGCCTTCAGATCAGAATTACTTGCTAGAGATACTGGAGGGAAGAAGCTTTCAAGGGAAGGATTCAGAATTATGTTTTGGGGTGCTGTTTTCTGCAGGTCACGCATTCACATATGATTCAATTGCACATTTTAGGGGGTAAATGGGTTCTGTCATCGCCTGTGGGTTTGTGCTCTCATTATTTTTTATGTCCTTCTCAGGTTTTGCCTCAGATGATGGAGTTTTGCCATCAGATCCTCATGGATCCCCACGCTGACCCCCGCAGGAAGGACGGGGCGCTGCATGTGATCGGTGCCTTGGCTCAACACTTGCTAAAGGTTCGATTTAATTAGCAAGATCTTCTGTGTTCCCAATTTAATTACCAGCTTTCTGCATTAGTGTTCCTGCTTGTCCTTGTCTTTCTGCAGAAGCGGGTGTACAGGGACCAGATGGAGCTCATGTTACAAAACTATGTGTTTCCACTGCTCAACTCTAATCTTGGCTACTTAAGGGCCCGGGTGAGTGAGTGTTTACTGCCAACTGTTATTAACTGCCAGATGACATTATTAAATGTCACTGTACTCATCAAAAAACTCATAACGCCAAAGCACTTGAAAATATGGTGAAAAATAAAAAGCCTTTATTCTCATATGGCTTACTGTATTAAGTTACTGTATAACTATTTTGTAGGGATTAGTGTTTTTTTTATATATATTATTTATATACTATTAATAGTTTTATTACTATTTTAATTTTGTATTTTTAAATATATTTATTATTTTATGTTTTTTTTTATTTGGTATGTGCTTTTGACATTTTTATTTATTTATTTATTTTTCTAAATGGGTTTTTGTTTTAGTTTTATTTAATAGTTTTAGTACTTAAACTTATTTCAGTTAACATTTCACATTTTTGTTTAATTTATTTAATTTTACTTTATTTTATTTTATTCATGTATTTTATTTCAATTAATAAAAATGTTTTTTTTTATTTTTTTTTATAGTTTTAGGATAGGATTTGGTCAGGATGGTCAACTAATCATCCTAACAACAGACTAGTCAGTTATTGAGTTTTTCTTTACATTTAAAGTCTTCTTAATTAAAATTTAAAGATCCTAAATCTTCTCAGAGAGGGTTTTGGCTTGATTACTAATTATTAGACTAACTGTCAGCACAATAAAAGCATTTCAGAGAAGTTGTCTACAAATTCAGTCCTCTAAAGCACCGCCGTTTCAGCCATCAATTGCCTTCTGTGAAAAAATGCTGATATTATGCATACTTTTAGTCTCTTTTTTGTGAGGACTATAACAGTTGTGTGATTTGAAGTTGTTAATTAGTGTGGTTATTTGTTGGCTATCTATCATTCATCCTATTAATGGTCTGTGCTGGTGGGCATGACCAACTAGTTGCTCAAACAACCCACGACTAGTTGAATTTGAAAGCATATTTTACACAGAACTTTGGCTATCAAAACTGCATCTGTCAAGAGTTCTTCAAAGCAACACTGGTTTCCATGGAGGCGTGATTCTGATCTTTCTGTGGTGTGTGTGTGTGTGTGTGTGTGTGCAGTCGTGCTGGGTGCTGCACTCGTTCAGTCCTTTGAGGTTCCATAATGAGCTGGTCCTGAGGAACGCTATGGAGCTGGTCAAACAGAACCTGGTGGATGACAAGGAGATGCCTGTCAAAGTGGAGGCAGCCATTGCATTGCAGACGCTGGTCAGGAACCAGGAGCAAGGTTTGATCTCACACACACTTAAAGTGAGACACTTTGAAACTGGTAAAGTACTGCGACTGTGATTTTGAATGTTGGTTTGATGAGACCTTGATTGGAAGTTTAAATTTGTTATACACATTTTTAGTTGACTACTTGAGCAGATTTTAGTGTAATGTGATATTTTTAGGGATGTAGTTTGCTAGGTTCTTGCTATGGTGTTTTAAGTGGCTGTTAAGTAGTTGCTAGGCCTTTGCGAGGGTCTGTGGGCTGGTTGTTATGGTGTTGCTAAAACTTTGCTTGGGGTGTGCGATATTGAAAAAAATTATATTTCAGTACTATTTGGGATTTTTTTTAAATGGGTCATATGATGTTGCTAAAAAGAACATTATTTTGTGTATTTGGTGTAATGAAATGTGTTTATGCGGTTTAAGGTTCAAAAAACACATTATTTTCCACATACTGTACATTATTGTTTCTCCTCTATGCCCCGCCTTTCTGAAACGCGTCGATTTTTACAAAGCTCATCGGTCTGAAAAGCCAGGTGTGCTCTGATTGGCCAGCTGTCCAGTGCGTTGTGATTGGCCGGATACCTCAAGCGTGTGACGGAATTGTTACGCCCCTTACCATATTGGGATACCATGTCCCGGAGCGACGAGACAAAAACATGAAAACCCATTATAAACGAGCCATTTGTTGCATCCAGTGGGGACATAATTATGGATTATAATGACTTATACTGTCTTTTTACTGTCCGAATAAACATAAAACCATGTCTGCATTTGTGATCGGAGAAATTACCAACAACAAGCGCTACTCTACACTGCTCAAAACTCGCGTTTGAATCATCAGTGGCAAATCCTTTAAATATGAAAACTTACTTACAGTCTGTGAGTCAGAACAGCCGGCATTGTAGTCTACTCTACCAGGATCAGGAAACAGTCCTCCATAAAATGTGCTGCACACATCTGAATATTTGGGTTGAAGTGTTCTGGAACAGTGTTGTAAATACAACTTAACCACTGATTTCTAGTCGTGTCCTCTTTTGGAAGGCCAAACAAAGTAGTTTCGCTTTCACAACTAAACACACAGCTTCTTCACAACATGGCGGCGGCGGTGTTAGCAACAATAAAGTTACGCCTTCTTTCTTTGCGTGAACATTTGGGCGGCGTTATGCAAATCTTCCCACACAGTGATGTAGATATGTGGGGGCGTGTTTGAACGAGGTGTTTTAAGAGGGCGTGGAACAGTCTAAAAGAGTATCTCTTTGGGTTTGAGACTTTAGTCTTTGCAACTTTAGGGATCTTATCTATTCACGAACAGCTGAACTTCTTTAATAAAGAAGCCTGCCATGGATAAATAAACATGACACTAAAATCGCCAATAGGTAGCAGCAAGTGCCTGTCTTAATAAGTGATTCATTGACTTCAGATTAATGGTAGGACCCTTGCTGTCTATGGAGGGTCAGAAAGCTCTCAGATTTCATCAAAAATATCTTAATTTGTGTTCCGAAGAAGAACGAAGGTCTTATGGGTTTGGAATGACATGCAGGTCAGAAATTACTATCCCTATCCCCTTTAACTTGTTTGTTGAACTGTTGTATAAAATCAGTACAGCATTTGTGATCATTCACACTTGCTGATTCAGCAAAACGGCACTCTTGATTGTGTGATATTACTCAACTATATCATATCTTATAACTACAAAAAACAAAAGCCTATACAGGGATATTTTTGGCTTAATAACTTGAATTATAAGGGCATTCCAATTATATTGTAATTGGTTTCATCACACAATGAATGCTTTTAGACTCTAATAATCAGCTCGCACATCGTTAAAACAACAATTACGATATTATCATAGACAATAAATAGTTGGTAGGTAGGGTGTTGCTAGGCAGTTCCATAGGTTCATTCTCAGTTGTTGCTGGCACGTTCTGGCTAGTTGCTTTTATGTTGCTACTGTAGCTTCTGCTTGAGCCTTACAAGGTAGTTGCAAAGCTGTTTTTACTGGATTGCTAGGGCATTTATATGCAGTTTTTAGGGTGGTTTCTGGACAGATGAACAGTGTTACTGATAGATTAACAGACAGAGTAAGAAGCTTAAATAAAATAAAAGTATGTAGGCTTTATCAAGACACAAACATAATGAAAATAAATGTCTGCTTTCATTTGAGAACAAAATGCAGAACACTAATGCACTTAATATGCAGCAAATTAATTTGACTAAATTAGTTTACTCTCTGTAATTGGTTTAAGAAACAATTGGATTAACCTATTTAAATCAAAGTCTGCTGTCTGCCTGTCCAGTACTTGCATAATTCTTCCCTCTTTCTGCTTTTTGTGTGTTGTATGAGTGCAGCTAAGGTCTACATCCGACCCTTCATCAAGCCTGTGATGCAGGAGCTGCTGCATATCATCAAAGAAACCGAGAACGATGACCTCACCAGTGTCATTCAGAAGATGATCTGTGAATACAGCGAGGAAGTGGCCGTCATTGCGGTGGATATGACACAGAACCTGGTACTGCACTCGTCTTCTCAGTTTATCGTTAAGTAAGTGTACGGTTTCATGCTAAAAGAGGTTGTTGTGCACAGGCGGAGATCTTCAGCAAGATTCTCCAGAGTGAAGAATACGAGGAAAGTGAAGATAAGACTGTGATGGCTCTCGGTATCCTCAGCACCATAGACACTATCCTCACAGTCATGGGGGACCGAAAAGAGGTTTGGATTTTTAGCATTTAGAAGAAAACACTACTGTTTTTTTCCGATATATTTGGGAAATAAATGAATACTTTTATTCAGCATGGACTGATCGATATATATATATATAATTAGTCAAAAGTGACAGCAAAGACAGTTCTAACATTTAAAATGCTACCGTTTCAATGCTGTTATTAGAATGATTTCTGAAGATCATGTGAGACTGAAGACTGCAGTAATGACTGCTGAAAATTCAGTTTTGCCATTACAGAAATAAATTACATTTTTAAATGTATTCAACTAGAAAACAGTTATTTTAAATTGTAATAATATTACCGTTTTTACTGTATTTTTGGTCAAATAAATGCAGCCTTCATGAGCATAAGAGACTTCTTTCAAAAATAATTAAAAAATCTTATAGACCCCAAACTTTTAAATTATAACGTTCATTACTGGTATATCAGCTTGCAAAAATATTTTATTTAATTGTTTTATTATTTTAATTTTGTTTTTGTTTTTGAGGCCGAGTACCTTTGTTAAGTATTCCAAAAAAAAGTCAGTTCTGCATTGGATTCATTTTTGGTGGAAAAATACAAATAAAATTGTTGCACATATTTCAGAATTATGCAAAAATTATTATACACTCTTGCATACAAATCTCTTTAAATTGCGTCAACATTTGTTTGAACATGTTGTGATGTTTCTGAAAACAGAAGTGAGGTTGATATGTTTCCCCTCTTTCTCTATTTCTATCAATCTTAGATCAGTCAACAGCTGGAGGGAATATGCCTGCAGGTGATCGGTCTTGTCCTCCAGAAACCCATCATAGGTATGGCAGGTGTGTGTGTGAGACACTATTTTCTATTTCAAGATATCTATTTTTTATAGATTATAAAAAATAATGTTAATATGAAATGTTTCAGTGACATCTCATAAATTACGTTAAATAATTTGAAAGACATCCCCATTAAGATTCTTAAGACGCATTCACAGTGATACATACAGTGATATGATGCCCCAACTACCAATGGGAGTGAAAACAAAAGAGATAAGGTTACCTTCTGTAGTTGCTTGTCAAAACTCCAGCAATTTAATCGCTGTCAGTTGGAAATCCCCCTTAAAAGATGCACCATTTGACCACTTGGTGGAGCTTGGAATTACAATTTCAATATCAATACTTTTTAATTATGCAAAATATATATCCTTTTGACTGTCCTCAAAACATCATGTCTCTGTTTCATAGGCGATCGATCACATTCTCTCTGTCTTTTTCAGAGTTTTATGAGGAGATCTTGTCGCTGGCGTTTGGACTCACCTGTTATTCCATCTCCCCTCAGATGTGGCAGCTGTTGGGGGTCCTGTACGACGTCTTCCAGCATGACTGCTTTGACTACTTCACAGGTCTCAGACACCCATGTAGCTCAGATACTTCACCTGTGGTGTAAAACACAGCCGAGAGCCAAGCCTTGATCTCTCCGCTCCACCTTAAACTATAAATCATGTCATGATTGAACTAGGTTGAAAGAGTCATTAAGTTGATGGATGTGCGTATTTACGTGAGTCATTTGAAAATGATTGTGGCAATATTGAGTACTTGGTTAATGATGTGATTTACTACCTTGTTGATGCAGATATGATGCCCCTCTTGCACAATTATGTTACTGTGGACACAAATATGCTGCTGTCAGACCCCAAATACCTGGAGGTCATTTACACCATGTGCAAAAAGGTCTTATTATGCATTTCCTCTATTAAATTATTCCATTTAAAGTGTATTTTATGTCATTCTTCCATATGCATTCGACATTTTAACTTTTGACCTCTCATCCCCCAGGTCCTAACTAGTGATGCTGGGGAAGACCCAGAATGCCATGCAGCCAAACTTCTAGAGGTCATTATATTACAGTGCCGTGGACGTGGCATTGACCAGGTTAGCTGTGTGTGGAGGTTGATGTGTATATGCAAATTTAGGTGTTTTTTGTCATGTTCATTTTGTGTGTCAGGACCGGTGTTATTTTAATTTTTTATATACCATTTTAGTTTTTATTAATATTTGAAATTAAAATGTTCAATTTTAGTTCAATTGTTTGTGGTTTTGTTACATTCTTTTTTATTGTTACTATTTTTTTTTATTAGTTTTTGTGTCCCTTTCTCTCTCTCTCTCTCTCTCTCTCTCTCTCTCTATATATATATATATATTTATTTATTTATTTATTTGTTTGTTTGTTTGTAATTTAGTTATTTTTAAATTGTTTTATGAATTTTTGTGTCATTTTAAAAAAGTAAATCAAAAATACTCTTTCTTATTTCATTTTTTTTTTTAGTTTTAGGTCAGTTCAGTTTAGATTACTTATTGATTCATTTATTCATTTATTTATTTATTCATAGTTAGTCATTGTAAATTAAATTTATTTCAGTTTGTTTCCAAGGCAATATTTTTAATTTTTAGTTTAGATTAGATTAAGTTTTTCATATAAATTTGTTTTATTTTTCTAATTTTTAGTAGTGCTTTGATTAGTTTGTGCTAGTTGTTTTTAAAGGTAATAATAAATTCTATTATTTTTATTTAATTTTAATATATGTTTCAGTTCTTGTTCAGTTTTTTATTTATTTATTTATTTATAGTTAATAATTTTAGTGCTTTAACTATTTTATAAATGTATATGTTTTTTTTTCTGTTTTATTTCAATAACCAAATATGTTTTAAATGGTTTTAGTTTAAAGAAACTATAATAGCCGTGATCAGTATGCTTTAAAAGTGACAGCTAATTGATTAATGGTGTGTATTGCTGGTTTAATGAGCAATATCAAATGTGCACATTAATGTAACATCAAATCTGGTGCCTTTGTGTGTTTGTTAGTGTATCCCTTTGTTTGTGGAGGCCGTGTTGGAGCGGTTAACACGAGGTGTGAAGTCCAGCGAGCTCCGCACCATGTGTCTACAGGTGGTAATCGCAGCTCTGTACTACAACCCCACCCTACTGATACACACACTGGAGAACATCCGCTTCCCACACAGCCCAGAGCCAATCACAGCGCAGTTCATCAACCAGTGGATGAACGACACAGAGCTCTTCTTAGGGTAAGGCTGTTTGCACAGGAAATGCCTTAAGTTTGGTTCAGAAGGTCACATGCACTTTATTAACGGAGATTGATTTAGATTAAACGCATTTATCTGTATTTATGCTGATATGGCAGCTGTTCCTGACAGGGATGTACACTGTTTAAAACTAACTTTGGAGTGGTTTTAAATATCTGTTAAATTCCGGAATTTGAATTGTTGTAGTAAACTGAATTAGAATTTAGAATTTGAGAAAATAGAATTATATAACTACTGGATAAATAGTTTGAAATAATAACTGCCGTCTTTTAGTACGAATTATAAACATATAATTATAATTATAAACACACACTCAATATGTGGAGTATTCCCAGAAACATTTCAATTCAGATTACAATGCAATTCTGATTCACAGTCATTTTTGCATTCTGATTGATTGTTTGCTCATTCTGGTTAACGAGTTTCACTGCCATCCTTTTGGTTCTCTTAGAAATCTTTGCTTCCCTTTAAATTAACTATTTATCAAATTATATTTGATCAAACGACATATTTAATTTTATAATTATATGATTGCTTGTTGTTGTTTATTATTGTTTACCACAGACTACATGATCGTAAGATGTGCATCATTGGGCTGAGTGTTTTGATGGAGCTGCCCAGCCGCCCTGCGGTCCTGGAGGAAGTTGCAGGCCAGATCGTTCCCTCCATCCTCCTCCTCTTCCTGGGTTTAAAGCACATCTACGCCACCCGAGTGCTCAACAAACCAGAGCAGCTCACTAGAGCTCAAGGCACAGAGGAGGAAGAGAATGGTGAGATTGTGTGTGACTGAGAGACATTCTTAAGCATTTCACTTGCAGAGTGTTTACTGTCTGTACCTTTAAGACTTCTATATGGAAATGACCTCATTTACACATAGAACCTTTAGAGGCACCATAGCAATTGCTCTAATTAAACAAGGGTCACAGGAGAGTGGAAATTGTCTTGACTAAAAACCTTGACTAGTGCAACAAATTACTTTTAAGGAAACAAAAAATGCTTAATTATATATAAAATAGCTGCTTTAACAGAAGAACACCGCAAATAGAATATAATTATGTATGTAGTGACCTATTGAGTCCAGTGTTTGTTGTTGCTTTTGGTGGTCTGTATGGTTATATTAATCTCACAGTTTCATCAAGTCCTTGTCTCACTTCACCTCAGGTAAACTTAATCCCTGCACAGGAAGTACTATTTCTGGCATATATAGCTTCAGGTTGGTCTTTAGTCATCAGGGTTTACGGACGACTGAGAACTGATTGTATCGCTCTACCAGGGCCCCGGAGACATGGGAAATGGAGGAACGACTTGTGCATGTTAGTTTAACATGATTCTGAACCTTTGGGCTTCGAGCACTTGACTCGAATTAAGTTATGGATTTATTGCTACTATGATGCTGGTTTCTGTGAAACACAGACATCAGCTGCATGCGGGATTGCCAGTATGCTCTCAATGTTTGGGCTTAGTTTGTTTTGAAGAGGCAACTATGCAGTATTGCATTTAAAGGGTTAGTTCACCCAAAAATGAAGCTGCGTTTTACTCACCCCCGAGGCATCCTAGGTGTATATGACTTTCTTCTTTCAGACGAATCCAGTCGGAGTTATGTTCAAAATTGTCTTTGATCTTTCAAGCTGTTTAATGTCACTCAGCGGGTGTTGCATTGCTTCAGTCCAAAAGAACTTAAATAGAAATTGCCCATCCATAAAAACTAAGTGTCTCACACGGCTCCGGGGGGTGAACAAAGGCCTTCTATAGCGAATCGATGCGTTTTTGTAAGAAAAATATCCATATTCAAAACTTAATAATCACTTGAATCTAGCTTGCGCTCACTGTTGTAAACAGAAGCAGTTCTGGGGGAATGACGTATGAGGTCGGCTTTGCGCATGCACCACTCAGAAGTGACGCACGTGGAAGCGCAGCGGAGAGATCAAAACAAAACTACGGTCAAGAATTAGAAGTACAAAACGAGGATTTGTAAAGAAGAATGTCGGAGGATTTCGATATAAGCCAAGAGGAGACTGGTTTTCCTTTGCTAAAGTAAGGAAACTTTGCTTCCTTTGCTCCTGTAAACTAACGTTGGTTTTCACGAGACTCACCGGCGCATGCACAACGCTGAACTCATAGCTCATCCACCCGGAACTGCTTCTGTGTACAACTGTTGGCGCAAGCTATGTACACCTAGGATCCCTCGGGGTGAGTAAAACGCAGCCTAATTTTCATTTTTGGGTGAACTAACCCTTTAAGTATAAATCTTACCAAGTTTAGTGAGAGGTTTATGCCTAAATTAGGAAAAAAAATAGTTTTATTTAAGAGAGATTCTCTGAAAACGAGCCTTAAAGGGATAGTTTACCCAAAAATGAAACTTTTCTCATCATTTACTCAAGTTGTTCCAAACATGTATGAATATCTTTATTCTGCTGTACACAAAAGATGTTTTGAAAAATGTTGGTAACCAAGCAGTTTCTGGTCCCCATTGACTTCCATAGTATAGAGAAGAAAAAAAACACTGAAATTCAATGGTTGCCCATAAACACCAACATAAATTGATGTTCAACAATTGTCCACAAGTGCAGCACCAGTAATTGGAATCATTTCCTGTTGCAGGTGTTCAGAGTTCAGATGCAGGCTGGTATCAGTCCCTCACATCACCTCTAAGCGAAGACCAGAGGAAACAACTGCAGGAGATCTATAACCTTACCCAGCAGAGAAGGAGCGCAGGAGTCAAGGGACTGTGGTAAGTGTGACCTTTTCAAAGATGTGGATCGGTGGTTCACAACAACTAGAAGCAGCACATCAGCGTTAACTGCTTTTAGACTCCACTGAAAGCATGGCTTTCCCTGGCAAGTTATTCTTGTACAAATATTCTATATACACTACTGTTTAAAATTTAAGATTTAATTATGTTTCTGTAGGAAGTCTCTTATGCTCCCCAAGGCTGCATTTATTTGATCAAAAATACAGTATAACAGTAAAATATCACACAGTGACAGCACTATTAAATTAGTATTGCATGTCTATTTCAGTCTCGCCTAAAAGTTCTGCCTCTATTTATGGTTTATGATTTTGAGCTTTCGAATGGGTTGGACATTAATTAAAACAGTGATGTGTATGGTTGACAGCGTTTGAAATAAAAAACGGCAACATTAGCATAGTACTCGGCGATACAGATGAAGTATTTAAAAGCATTTGACGTCACTCTGATGACTGCTGTTGTTACTTCAAACACTTGAAATAATGCAAGATTGTTTTATCGTCTCTCTGTAGAGATGTTCCAGTTGCAGGTTGGAGATACCTGACACTTTGGATTTGGATCTGTACAGAGTTCTGACACCGAAAACAGCTTAAACTCTGGAGACTAGAGACATCTCGGTCAGGATGGATGGGATCTTTAACCCAGGACCCAAAGCAAGCTCTTCAGATCCATGACTTTTAATAGGAACACTGAGACATCGTCAAAACTGGTCAGAAAGGCCCCAGTAAAGTCGAAGAGGTTACTCTGGGTCACCCCTTCCCTGAAGCTGTGTGTGTGTGTGTGTGTGTGTCTGCGCATCTGTACAGAATTATGGGTGTTTGCGCATGTGTGCAGACGGGTGTGTGTATAAGTAATTGAATGTTATATATTCTGTTTCTCCTCCATTTGCAATGAGTCAGTAAGAAACTCGACCGAGGCAGTGAGGTGAGACATGTCAAGACAAGCCAGAGAGAGACAGACAGACACCGCTTCAGACTGACACACAGATGGAGGGATTTGTGGTGTTGGTCAGTGCCTTCAGAGATACGTTGGCATTTTTCTGCCCAGACAGATCATGTTCACTGGCTAAATGTCAGAAGGACGATGTTTATAGCTGTCATATGTTTGTATGTTTCAGAGTTTGTTTTTGTAACAGTCCGTTTTCAGAATTAACTTAAGTCATAAAAGTTAATATAACACGATTCATTTGCAGTTTTTTTTTTTTGGAATGGTTATGCAGTCATGTAATCATTGATTTGTGTGTATATTCCAGATCATATTATTTAGCATATTTAGCTGGATCGTATTTCATCCCAAAATCAAAAGAGAACTTGAAGAAATTATATTGTACATTTTATTTTAAGAAAATGAAATATATTTTAGTACCATTATGATTTTTTAAATATAATTTTCAAACAATTAAGCACATTTTGCACAAAATTCTTTATTGCAGTATGTGAAATTTCTTTATTTTTATATATTAGTTTTTTTCATATTTTTTGTTATATATAAATAATGTCATATTGTTATTTGCTAGAAATTATATTTTATAGAATTTAAATTTTTTAAATGTATTTTTTTTTTATGTATTTTTTTATTATATGTTTATTTAATTTTTTTAAATAAAAATATTTCCCAATAAATTTATTCCATAAATGTACATATAAATATTTTATATTCAGTACTTCAGATATTACCATGATTTATTTTTAAATTTATGCACAATTTAAATAATATAATTTATTATTTTTTCTTTGTTGCTTCTGCTACTGACAGTTGGTGGAAGGTGTTTAAATGTGCTTAATTGTCATGGAAATTATTTCACAATGCAAAAAAGCACCATCAGCAGTCCGTTTTGCTGTTCAATCTGGTTGCAAGAGCAATTTGACTGTAGGGAGCCACCAGATGTATTTAAACGGCCCCCCCAGAAGGGTAATTTGAACATTTCTTGCATAAAATCATGTTTAGCCAGATGTTCACCCATCATTGAATCTTTAAAAGTGCATTTATCATCATGATTCATTATCCCTGTCTTCATGTTCCATTAGCAAGTCCAAACCCAGAGCGCTTTGCTTATGACTTGTTCTGCGTGGAAGCACAGGTCACGGTCAAGGCAGTGCAATCATTGTGTGAAATATCCCACAGCTCTTTATTGATTTCCTGCCTGCGCTCGCGCTCTCTCTCTCTCTCATTCGCTCCATAATTTGCATTTTTCTTTCTCTTTTTTTCTTGTGTTCTCATTCTCTCCTCCAAAATTTCACCTTGGTAGCCATAGTTTCTGCCAAAATATACTTCTATAACCATAACAGATATTATGGAAACAATGTAAGACGCTTTCAGGTTCTGTTTGCCATTTTGTTCAATCTTTTTTTTTTTTTTATACATTTTAAATAATTTGTACAAACTATAAAAATCATAAAATTGAATCAGTAGCATAATCTTTTGACCTAACTAGTGTCATACAAGAATACTTGTGCACCATTTTGACAAAAGAATGACAGCAAAAAGCAACCGATTCTTCATATTACACCCATTAATATCAAAGCACATTATCTGAACATTTAGTACCAACTAATATTCCTTTGCTTAAAGTACACTTGTTATACTAGTAAATTACATGGCTATAAAACATCTTTTGCAGGTTTTATTCTCAGCTCTAATTTATGGAAACTTGTTTTTGTCACGGAATAAAGAAAAATGTAAGTAATTGTGACTTTTAATCTCACAGTGAAAAAAGTCAGATTTGTAAGATATGAACTCAGAATTGTAACTTTATTTCTTAACACTTCTGAATTTACATCTCGCAATTGTTTTTTTCCCCCTGCCATGGAATGCACAATAAATATAAAAAAAGAGCAAGTAGGCCTACAACATTTCATATTTTTTGTGTGTGGTTACCATACAAAAGCTTGTTTCCGCTACAGGATAAGAAAAAAAATTAAAAAGGTAATTGTGATTTTTTTTTTTAAATCTCACAATTCAGATGTTTTTTCCTCACAATACTAAGTTTATATCTTGCAATTCTGACTTTTTCCTCAGAATTGAAAGAAAAAAAGACAATT